TGTGTTCATGAAACCTATATCTCAAAAAGATCCACTCCGGCAAATCAGGAGAGAATATTTAAATAAATAACAAAAATGATCCAAAATATATATTTAAATTTTTTGTTTTAATATTTATTCTAGAAAGCAGTAATTAATTAATTAATTATATATATTACTAGAAGCCTGGGGCATGAATTCATGCACAGGTGAGGTCCCTCAGCCTGGTCAGTGATGGAGGCCAATCGGACCAGCAGAAGATTGGCTGTGAGAGCACACTTGACCACCAGGGGGCAGTTCTTGTGTTGAAACTTTGCCCCCTAGTAGTCATTGCACATCATAGCAATCAGTTGACTGGTCGTTTGGTCATTCAGTTTGCTTAGGCATATATATATATATATATATATATATATATATATATGATTTATATATAATAACTATATTTGTACATGTAATTAAAATAAACAGTGTATATATTTTATGTCAAATATCTGGATTTTAGAGTTAATAAGATTTTAACCCAATATGTTTTCTTTGATTACTTTCCTAGACTTCAAATTTAAAAGCTTTAGCTGCTGCTGGTATAGCTCAGTAGCTGAGGGTTGACCCATGAACCAGGAGGCCACAGTTCAATTCCAGTCAGGGCGCATGCCCAGGTTGCAAATCTCAAGTATGGGATATGCAGGAGGCAGCTGATCAATGATTTTCTGTCATCACTGATATTTCTATCTCTTTCTCCCTTTCCCTTCCTCTCTCTGAAATCAATAAAAATATATTTTTTAAAAATTAAAAAAAACCTTCAGGATTTTCTTGTGAAAAATATGGACTCTGATGCCAGTATACCAGGTGTACTGGTTGATAATGGAGTTACACATGTGTGGATATATATGTGATTTGATGTGTATGTTATTTTGTTGTATTGACAACAAGCTTTAAAACTTCATATATCAAATTTTCTGAAGGTATTAACATCATAGATATTTTTATTCTTAAAAAAGGCCAATTTTGTGCCAAAAAAAAGAGCATTTACAGAAAGTTTTAATTCATTACTCTATTTTGAAGAAAAGTGTGCTGGAAGTTATTATATAATTCAGGAAGCTTATGGTGAACATGCTCCATCTCAAGATACTTGTGAACACTGGTTTAAATGCTTAAAAGTGATGATTTCAATGTGAAAGACAAAGAATGTCCAGGTCAACTGAAAAAGTTTGAAGACAAACAATTATAAGCATTATTGGATGAAGATGCATGTCAAACTCAAAAATAATTTGCAGAAAGATTAAACGTTTGTTCAACAAACAATTTCCAGTCATTTATAAGCAATGGGAAAGATTTTATAGGAAGGAAAATGGGTGCCACATCAACAGAAGGAAAGACAAATGAAAAACTGAAAAGTCATCAGTAAAATGTTTTTTCAACAGCATGAAAAATGTATTTTTTTTTTTTTGCATCGAATTGTGACTGGTAATGAAAACTGGATTTATTTTGAGAATCCCAAGTGGACAAAATCATGGGTTGATCCAGGTCAACCAACAACACTGACTGCAAGACCAAATCTCTTCAGAAAATAAACAAGGCTCTACATTTGGTAGGATAAGGAAAGTGTGATGTATTATGAACTTCTAAAACCAGGTGAAACCATTAATACTGATCGATACTGACAACAAATATCAATTTGAGCCACACTTTGATTGTGAAATGACCAGAATGCTCCAGAAGATATAGCAAAGTAATTTAGTTTCATGATAACGTACCATCACACACTTCAAAACCAGTTAAAATATATGTTAAAAGATCTTGCCTGGGAAGTATTAACCCAACTGCTGTATTCACCAGACTTTGCTCCTTCAGATTACCGCTTATTCTGATTGATGGCTCAAGCACTTTCTGAGCAGCACTTCAAAACATAGGAAGAAGTGGAGAATTGGGTCTCTGAATAGTTTGCCTCAAAACACAAAAAGTTTTATTGGGACGGTATCCACAAATTACCTAAAAGATGGGGGAAATGTGTAGCTAGTGAGGGACACTACTTTATATAAAGCATTTTTGATATTTATCTTGAAAGTATCATGTTTTCTTTGATTATATAATCCATATTATTAACCAGTACACCTGATAACACATTTATATTTAAATAACTGTGTGTGTGTGTGTGTGTGCATGTGTTTGTGTGATTACTTATTATGTCACCTATTATTTGAGGATATCAACACTAATCTAAGAATTTTGTGAAACGTTATATGTGTGTCTTGAATAAACTTAGCCAATAAAATTTTACAAAGAAGCACATTATTACCATTTAACAATAAAACTTTAGACATTTTCAAAATTATTTTTCTTATGCAGAAGTAACACAGAAATAACCTTTACCCCCTTGAATGTGGGCAGCCGGGGAGAACAAAATAATGTACTCTTGTGCTTCTTCTGTTACTAATTTGCTTACATAAGCAAAATTGTGGACTTTCTGTGGAAGTACCAGACTGCACGGCTGATAAAATGGCACATAGCTTGCACAGCATTTGTAACGTGACAGCTTCTGAAGGACAGATTTAATGAGATTAGTAGACTTCCGCCCATCACAGCCTCTAACTATGTTTTACAATCTTTAGATTTTTGGCACCAGTTACTGAAAAAGCTATTTGCAATTATGTGAAGGGATTGACTAACATATTTCTATCCTGTTTTTGAAAAAGATAGGAAGAATAAATTGAACATTAAGATTTCTCTCCAATAGTGTGTGTATATATAATATATATATAAATAATATATAATATAATATATCAATACATAAAATCAGATTGCATATAAATAATATGTATAATCTATGAGATGAAGCAATATTAAACATGCATTTTACACACATACCTTTCATGTTGATCTCTTAAGTTCAGGAAGAATTTTTTGTAGAATTATAAAGACTAATTAGAGTGTTTTCCCAAATATTTTACTTACAGGTAGCAACACTGTCATTGGTCCGACCTGGGATTTACTCACAACATCAACATTAAATAAACTGCCCCAAACGGAAGAACCACTCTTAGAGCCAACAGCAAACACCAATGCCAAGTCATATTCGTAATTACTCATCTTTTGAAACGTGTTTGACATGAATGATTCAGCAAAGCTGGGTCCCTGCCAGCTGGTGCCAACAGGCACAATGGCACCAGAGGAAATGTGATAACCACAGAGGCAAACAATGACTGGACAATAAAATTCTCCCTCCTTTGATTCAGGTATAGAAAGTGCTGTTTTCTGAAAAAGCAGTAAAGTAGGTCTCTTTCTCTCTCTCTCTCTCTCTCTCTCTCTCTCTCTCTCTCTCTCTCTCTCTCTCTCATTTTTAAAGCTTCCTTAACAGTTAGTAAAATATGCTTGGGCACACCAACGTACATTTTATGAAAGGTACCATGAGATAAAAAGAACCATGACTCTCTTGGGCTTTCCACTGCAAAGATCTCCATGTACAACTTGATAGTTTTAGAACTCCCAAATTCAGTTAAAAACAAAAAGAAGCTTTAGGGGGGGGGGGGGAAGAAAAGTAAAGCAGCCTTAGGGTAGGATGAAACTAAAGAAATACAAACAAGAGTAAGAAATTACCTGCCTCATGATTAAGAAAGAAATTAAGTAAAACTTTTTTGTTTTAATAGAGAATGCATAGACCTGTATATTCTCATCATATGCCAAATGGCATCATTCACCAGGTAGGGCCGGTCCTTTGATCAGAATGCCAGGCTGTGGGAGATGGAGATTGCATGCCCCAAGTAATAATCCCGGCATCGTTCAAATGAGACCTAACAGCCCGGTGGAGCAATCAGGCTCCAGTCCCACTTACCTTATTAACTAAACTGACAATTTGGCACTAAGTAGAAATACAGGGCCAAACACTCTCTGCCCCGTATATTATTCTGGACCTGGAAAGTGAAGATAAGGCAAGAAAAACTTGCAGGTTGTTTATGGAGGTCATTTGGCCAGTTTTTCCCAGAAGATCACTTGGTTATCTCAGTTATTCCAGCTCTAACAAGCAAGTCTCTAAGTTATCTGTTTCTGGGTGCTGTTTTCCGATGGTCATTTTTCCTTTTCAGAAATATACACACAATTGCTCCTCTATCGCAACCACCACAATGCAAAACAAGTGCACAATTAGGAAACTGTCCAAATCCAACTTGCCTTTCTGTAGCTTGCTGTCTTTCCAACCTCTTCATCTGCTCGGATCCCCTTGCATTATTTATCTCCACCTGAGTTTACATCACCCTCAGAATCAATGCCTCTTATACATTAAGTGAATGTGCAAGTTAGCGTGTCTCCCTGACAATTAACAAAGACGTTAAGCGCTGATGCCAATTCAGTGGCATAAGCTGGACACCTTCCATTACCTGGCGTGTCATTGTTTTTGGTCTATTAAGCAGTTTTCATTTCACTTTATGGGCCCATATAAAACCCAAGCTAGATGTTTCTCAAATTATAGGCAGTATTACAGGTATTAAATAGCTTCATTTTGTTTTTTTAAACATCATCTCTAAATTTACTGAGGACTGAGAAACTAAATTGGGTTATCTATTATCTATCTATGATATCTATCTGTCTGTCTATAGGTAGATATATTTTAAACTTTTCAGTTTTTTAAAAAGTCTTTTGTCTTGGACTCCCTAACTCATATCCACTGTTTTACATTAAGAGTAGCATTTCTCATTTTCCAAAAATATATACTTCCTGATTCTTGTTTAAATCTATTTGGCTAACCAAATTATCATTGCTGTTTTGATTCATTTTTCAAAGGGGACTTTCAATTTTCCAAAAGTCCTCTTGTCTTGTTCTGCTTTATTTTTCACCATTCTTACACTCTGACATACAAAAGTCAGTGGATCAGAGCATCGTAGGCAGAAGCTTAGTAGCTCTCAAAATCTATCTTGTTAGGCAGACCTCGGATAGACAGGCCTGGGTTAGGGCAGGCTGAATGCTCAGAGGCTTCAGTTGTCAAAACTCTACAGCAAAACAGTAGAAAATGTATGTAAGCATTCACTTACCTGCTTTTGATCAACAATTATCTCGAGGTCTTCATCACTGCTTAGTTTTCCATATCCTTTTTCTTTACTTTTCTTGTGAAAGAATAATTTTAAATGATCATTTAGTGTGTTTCCATTAATAATCTAAATCCCACTTAATACTTTAAAAAGATAAAGTTTACTTAGCCTTGTTCCCTAGTCATTATACATTATTCTTCATGTCAGTTGCTCATGGACAATAGCAAATGTTTTATTGTTAAGCTGTTGGTTTATAATTATTCATTAAGTATTTTTTTGCTTAGCCTCTTCCATACAAATTACATCTTTAGTCTTCTCTGAATATTGTTATGCTTCTTTTTTAAAAAAATTCTGTAGTTTAAGAAAAGATTCTTTAATACTTTAATATAAGTAATTCCTTTAAGAGTCTGAGCATGTTTTTCTTAAAGGTCAAAACTGCAGTTAGTAATACTAGGCTTAAGCCTTCAACTATTAAATGTTTTATTTTAATCCCTTATATATTTTTAAGAATAAGACCAGTATCCTGCAACTCAGATAATAAATCTTTAGATTTTACACATTTGCTTATAAACCAGATATAAACGAACATTGTAAAAACAACTCAGAAATAATTTTAAAAAGATAAATAACTTTCAGAATTAGTTTGAAAAGTTAGAAGAGTACAGACCATCTTTAAAAATGAATTTATTAGCATTTTGTCATTTCCCCCCCATGCCCATTCTCCATCTACCTACCCCACAGGAAAAAAATTTCTAACATCAGAAAAGGATATAGATCATGACAACCATTTTATTGTGCTTATAGGAGAAAGATTATTTATCTGAGTCTTTTTTTATTCTTTCTTGCAATGCCCTGCTGATGGGAATGCCAGAAATGACATATTTCTCCCTAATTTCAGAAATTAAAGTTCCTTTAGGTACTTTAACAAAAGGACTAGAAACAAAAGGAAAGGAAAAATACTGCTATACAGTTAGCTATAGTTCAAAGTTATTATTTTTTTAAAAACAATTTCTTCTTTAGGTGTTGGCTACATTGACTAGAATTAAGGGAATTAAAAATGTTTCTTATGTTTGCACCTACTGTACCACATTAGAATCCCTATCTCATTGGGGGAGAAAATGATATCCTTCATGAAACAGGTCATAAATCTGTTTACAGTGTGGGACATGAATCTTGTGTCCCCCCCCCCCCCCCCATAACATTTAAAACCAGATTTCCACATTTCCTCCTCAATAAACATACCTATGATTTTTCTGGTTTTTTTATTTTATTTTATTTATTTATTTATTTATTTTTTTTTGTGTGTGTGTGTGTGTGTGTGTGTGTTTCGTGAGTGTAATAAAGAGATTTCTGACTCTTCAAGTATTAAGATGCATAAATATGGTCTCATTCATATATTAATGAATTTGGTCACTTAAAACAGAACAGCTGGCCCCAGTACTTTTCTCTATTGTTATTCTTGTCCTCATTTGAGGAACCATTTCAGGATTAATGGAAAACAAAGAGAACAAGGGTGGTTTCAACAAAGCTGACTTCCTATCACTTCGCTTTTATATCCTTTTAGTCCACTGGTTGCCGTAGGCCCTCTAATGCAAAACGTTTAGAAATGCTTTTCCAAATATTGATCTATACGTACCAAGTAGCTCATTTGCATGACTCGATTTCCGGACACAAGGACATTAAGTAGAGATGGAATGTGGGTCCTTCCATCCATGTCACTGTCAGACATCCCAGAATTCTTTGCAGCAGAGGCAGTGGCTTCATTGCCAGAACTTGCTGACCAGAGAACCACAGATCTTGCCCAGCAATAGTATTTATAATGTATGACAATCATAGAAGTATCCCTGAGTCACTGTCTTATCTTTGTAAGCATTGTGAACATTTAGGCTACCACAAAAAATCATTGAAACAAAAATATCTTCTTTTTTAACTAATTTTTATCCAAGCACAATGTTCTGACTGCTGTTGTAGTTTAATGCTTTTTTTTTAAACCAACTATTATTAATTATATATATTTTTATATCTTATCCCACACATAAGGACTATTCAGCCTCTTTGTCCTAAAAGCTCTCAGCTTTTCCTTTTTAATGCCCCACCCCAGACTTTCTTGTGATTAGCAAATCAGTGCTAATTGATACAACCATATCCGAATTCATAGAACATAATTCAAGGTTGCAGTTTCTGCCAATACCAGCATCCCACCTTTCCAATTTAATCCCAACTCTTTATCTGATACAGCAGTAGATTTTCCTAGGGAGAGGCGAGGTCAGGAAAGGAGAGTATAATAGCTCCAACTACTGAAATCAGAAGTTGGCATTTTCCAAAAGTGGGAGGAGGAATTTAGAGCTCTGATTCTGTATTTAAAACCCTAGTCTCCAAACAGCACACACTGTACGCAGTCAGATTTCTTACAGTTTTACTCTAAGAGTTAAATAATTATTTCCTATTTCACCCCATAACCCCCGGGGGGTTTAAGCCTTTTCTGCATCAGGGTGGTTATTCGCTCACTTACTGCTTATTTCTAGTGCGAGCACAGTCCTCTTTCAAGCACTCAGCTCCCACTTTGCTTAGATGAGCCAGCCCGGGCAGGGATCTTCAGCTCGCCTCCCTCCTCCCAGCCGGGAGCCCCTGTCTTCTATCTAAGCACTTTTGTCCAGCACAGAAAGCAACTCCATCGCTTTCTGCGTGGCCTCTCACATCAGCCAAAGGACTGAACTGGAAGGAGAAAGAAAGCTGACCTCTCTCCAGTCTCCCAGCCTGAGAGCCTGAGGAGGCAGGGCTTCTGTGGGAGGGGAAGCCCCAGGACAATCACTTCCTGTACTCCTCCCTCCTCCCCTGGCCACTGAGGCTGTGAGGATAGGCCCCTTTCCACCTCAGCCTCAGCATGCTGCCCGCTAGCGATTTTGTGCACTGCTCACCTGAGGGCAGTTCATGAGGGAGTGCTAGTGCAGTGGGGCTAAAACAGGGAACTCTTTGAAATGGGAAAAGTGAGGAAAGACACAAGGGAAATATACTCATCATTTGCCGACAATGCCTCATTCCCCATAAGGAGCTTTTAGCTGGAGATGTGTCCCATCTCTGAAATGCCAACCATACTTATCCCCCATCATCTTCCCCACACCTTTCTAAATCCTTTCTGAGTAACTGAAAGGAAGACTATCTAGTTCCTTCTTGGTGCTAATAACTTTCTTAATAGCCCTGAATAATATCTGTAGTTTTCTTAAGGATGATGACCCTAGCTCCCCTCTCTGCAGACATTCCACCATCTCCCCTTAACCTTTTTACCCTTTGCTTCCCACCCCTTCATTCGTTCCTCCACAAAAGTAGAACAGAAAGCTAGGTTTACCCACTTGAATTCAATAAACCATAAAACTTGGAAACAGTATAGGAAAACAATATATGGTCGCAGATATAAGAATGCATTACATAAGAAAATTTTGCAAGTAACAACAAAACAACAACATAATTTGATGAGTTAGAGACCTGAAATATGAGACTCCCTATGTTCAATTTTAGAATAATGTTTTATTAAAAAGTAACACTATGAATTGAAAGATACTAGTTGTGTCTGGGTTGAATTACAAGGATTCTTCATACTCATTAGGAGTGGAATATATGAAGGACAATTTGAAAGGAAAACACACACACATGATTTAGTTAATTGTATACACTTGACTCAACTGCAATTTTTGCCTAACTACAGATGGCAAAATAAATGTCAAGGTTAAAGATCACATGTGAACATTGAATTTTTTTTTTTACTATCATTTATTCAATACTGCAATGAATGATAAGTAAACCTAATTTATTAAAGCAAATGTCACATAGATATTATGTACACAAAAGTACAGAGACCTTCCTATTCTCTTCTTCATGGTTGTCAGTACTCAGTTGCTATCTTTTCATTTTCCCTATCTTTAATGTCTTCTCCAGCACCTTCTAACCAGCAGGCTGCAAAATTGTTTAGTTTTTTCTGTCCTGAAAGATGACTTCCTCACATCTGCTTTCCCCTAAAGCAGGGGTTTTCAACCTTTTTCATAAAATGGCAGATAAACCAATTACTAAAATTCTATGGCACACACAAAAAAATGTATTTTTGATGATCTGACAAGAAAATAAGATATAATTTTGAGTCGTTCACACCAGATGGCTATTGTTGTGTTGGCTGTTGTCATTTTTTAAATTTGACAATCTAAGAGAAAAGAGGTCAGTGCCTCTGACTAAATAGTCAGGTGTCGCACATTTTAAAAATTCTTGTGGCATAAAAGGGGGAAGAATGGGGAAAACCTGTGACAATGTCAACAATTAAAAAAAATATTCTGGAGACACACCAGTGTGCCTGCCAAGGTGGAAAATCGCTGCCCTAAAGGCATTCGTTTACTCTCTCTTATCTCTTCACTGACAAACTTGAAAGAGTGGTCCATTCTTACTAGCAACAGCTCTCTTCTCTTCAATTCTACACCAATCACAATCAGGTGGCAATTGACTTGTAATTGCATTCTTGACAATTGCCAATGGACTCCTATTTATCAAATTCTTTAGCAATTCTTTAGCAGTCCTTTTTTAGAGCTAATTGTATGAATTAGCCCCAAATGCAACTTGTGACTGACTGCAGATGTCAAAATAAAGGAAATCATTATTTCTTTTAGTGGTCAAGTTTGTATGAAGTATTTTTTTTTAAATGTCTTTGCTGTTATTTACACTATCACAGCTATTAAATGGTGTCTCTACTGAATAGAGTGTCTTTTTTAGAGGGAGGAGGAATTAGGAAAGGAGATGATGTGCTGAATTTGCTGTGTCTTTAAAAAGTTCATCCACATTGCCGTAGAGCAGTTTGGCTCAGTGGATAGAGCGTCCGTTGGACCTGTGAACTGAAAGGTCCCAGGTTTGATTCCGGTCAAGGGCATGTACTTTGGAAATTGCGGGCACATCTCCAGTGGGAGGTGTACAGGAGGCAGCTGATCAATGTTTCTGACTCTCTATCCCTCTCTCTTCCTCTCTGTGAAAAATCAATAAAATATGTTAAAAAAAAAACAAAAACCAAACAAAAAAAAGAAAGTTCATCCACATGGAAA